AACTAGTATACGTGCCCGCGCGTTGCGCGGATAATTTAAAATGTAATAATTTTATAATTAAAAATAACTAATAAAATAAAATTAAAAAAACAAATAAATATATATATATATTATGTTGAATTTTTTTAAGGATAATCAAACATCAAATACTTCGAATAAATTTACGTGTTTGTACTTTATTCTTTATATACATATATATATTATGTTGAATTTTTTTAAGGATAATCAAACATCAAATACTTCGAATAAATTTACGTGTCTGTACTTTATTCTTTTTATGTCATTTGAATAAATAACTATTTTAATAATTTATTAATTCTAACATTCCATATGAAATATTTGATATCGATTAAGTAATCTTGATACATTTTATATATGTTTTATTCAAAATATTATTTATTGTATTAATTTTGTGTAAAAATATAATTAAAAATTTGACATAAATGTAAAAATAATAATAATTAATATTATTATTAATAAAAAAATTCACTACTATAATAAATTCGTAAAAATTCAATTCTTTACGAATTCCTTTTATATAATTGATATACTCTTAAATTTGTTAAATGACTTATAATTGTGATATTGCTTAAAGTAATATTATGATAAACATAATTTATTGCCTTCTATGTTTGTGATAGTGATAGGTACTATCAAATTTATAATAAACATAATTTAATGTCTTCTATGTTTATGATAAAGATAGGTGTTATCAGCTTATAAAATTTGGTATGACAATTTCTCATTTATCTTGTGCTAAGGTTGAAATTCTGCAAAAAAAAACAAAAACAAAAAAAAAAACAAAAACAAATAAGAGATATGAATTAATATAATGAATAAATTATTAAATTCTAAAAAAATATTATAGAAACAAACCTCTAGCAATTACTTTGAAGTAATTTTGGTGTTGCTTTTCTACTTCAAGGATCTTCAAAACATTAAAATCTTACCTTTTGAATTCGACAACATAAACCCGAAAAAGAAGATAGAAATTAGCACTTAAATTCAAGAATTTATTAACAAAAATTAAGCATAACTACAAAAAAGTTGAGAGAACAACTTGTAAACAATGATTTTATTTATCAGTAGCACGTATATATAACGTTTGAATTTGACAACATAAACACGAAAGAAATATAAAGATTAGCACTTGAATTAACAAAAAATAAGCACAATAATTATATATATATTTATTTATTTATTTATCTTTTTTTTTCTTTTTCTAGAACTCATCATTCTAATCAAAGTATAATATTATGATAAACAATTTAATGTATTCTGTGTTTTTGATAGTGATAGTATTATCAGTTTATAAATTTTGCTATGACAATTTCTCATTATCTTGTGCTACGCTTGAGAATTTGCAAAAAAAAAATATAAAAAAAAAAGAGATATGAATTAATATAATGAACAAATTTATCAAATATTATAGAAACAAACCTCTGGCAATACTTTGAAGTAATTTTGGTGTTGCTTTTCAACTTCAAGGATCTTCAAAACATTAAAATATCTCCTTTTGAATTCGACAACATAAACCCGACAAAGAATATAGAAATTAGCACATCATTCTAATCAAAGTATAATATTACGATAAACAATTTAATGTCTTCTGTGTTTTTGATAGTGATAGTTTTATCAGTTTATGTATTTTGCTATGACAATTTCTCATTTATCTTGTGCTAAGATTGAAAATCTGCAAAAATAAAAAAATAAAAAAATAAGAGATATGAATTAATATAATGAACAAATTTATCAATATTAAAAAAATATTATAGAAGCAAACCTCTGGCTATACTTTGAAGTAATTTTGGTGTTGCTTTTCAACTTCAAGGATCGTCAAAACATTAAAATATCACCTTTTGAATTCGACAACATAAGCCCGAAAAAGAATATAGAAATTAGCACTTGAATTCAAGAATTTATAAAAAAATAAAAAAGAGAAATACAAAAAAGTTGAGAGAACAACTTGTAAACAATAATTTTCTTCATCAGTAGTCTATATAAAGCGTTTGAATTTTGTAACCGTTTTCTATTAGTTGAAAAATATTTTTTTTCTAAAAAAAAGGAGGACAAAATCGTTATTTATTGAAATTTTAAAATTTTAATTTTTAAAATTTTAAACTGTGCATCCGTGTTTCAAGGGCAGTGGAGAAATGGGATAAGCTTAAAGGGAAAGTGCTAAACTGTCGTGTTTTATATTAATTTAATTCAAATTAAACAGATTGTTTTGTTAGTATATTTACTTAAATGAATAATTTTAATTTAAAAGTTTACAGATATTTAAAATTTTAAGCTAAGTTAAACAAAAAAAATTATTGTTATTATTATTATTATTATTATTAGTTCAAGTATTTTTATCAGTAAAGATAGAACATGTAGATTATAGGTTGTATTTTATTAAAATATAATTATTTAAAATGCAAATAAGGAAAAAGATCTGATATAAAACTTAAAACTTTAAATGATAGTTAAATAATAAATTTAAAAGAAACTTCCCTACAATGCGTTTTTTAAAAATAAATAATTTAAAAAATAATTTTAGTTTAAAAGTTTTTCAATTTGTTTAGAAGTAAGAGTGTAATAGGAAGTTTTAAAACTCCATATTTAGTGGGATAATAATTTATTTTTTCAAAACTGATTTCACGTTAATACAATATATATAATAGAGATGATTTAGGAACATTATTTTTAATTATGAAAGGAGAATTTTTAAAACTGATTTCACGTTAATTATAATAAATATTTTAAAAACTCACATTCTGTTGCTATTAAAAAGGAGTAAAACGTGATTTACTATTCAAATTTATTTAAAATTCAAATTTTGTAAAAACTGATGATCTCCACATACGTTTTTTCCTCTAAATTCGGTTACTTTTAAGAAAAAACAGTTTCTTACTTTCAATTTTTAAATTAAAAATAGAGATTAATTGTGGCGCTGACACGTAAGCGCTATCACCTCTCCTATATATATATATATATATATATTATTATTATTATATATTATTTATTATTATCTACATTTGTTTGGCTAAAACAACTGTAACGTTTTTCTTTTTTTAAAAAAAATCTAATAATTTCAATTGGCTAAAAAAACTGTAACTTTTCTTTTAAAAAAGCAACTTTTTTTCTTTTATTAAATTATTATTGAATTAATTCTATTTAATTAGTTGATTATTTAAAAGTTAAAATTAGAGATTAATGTGGTGCTAACACGTAGGCGCTATCACCTTTCCTATTATATATATATAGAAGACTAGTAAAATTATCCGCACTTCGTGCGGGAATTCAATATCATGGAATTTATAAAATAATATTTAAAATCTACCGGTCATTATTGAAACACTATATTATCTTACATACAAGATTACGTAGTAACAAACACTAATAATGTAAAGGAAAATGAAAATTATTACATCTTATCATTTATCCTTAATAACATAAGCATAAATTAATAACTGTAAAAATACATATCAGGATTTGTAACATAAGCAATGGTGTCAGTGAGCCACTCAAAAGGAGCAAAGTACACTAATATTTAATTGTGAAGAAGAAGAGGTTCGGAATTTTCGTTGTTTTAAAATGAGAGGAAATCCCTCTATTTATAGACAACAAAGTGTAGTGTGAACAAATGTTTATTGTGTCTTATCGGAAATGTTACAACTATTTGGAAAAGTTGTAACTCTTCGGAAAGGTCACAACCTTTCATAAAAGTCACAAATTTTCATAAAAGTCACAACTCTTCATTCAAGTCGCTACTTTTCAGTTTTCATAAAAGTCATAACTTTTAATAAAAGTCACTATTTTTCATAAAAGTCGCAACTCTTTATTAAAGTCGCAATTGTTCATTAAAGTCACAACTTTTCATAAAAGTCACAACTATCACGAAAGAGGAAGGCTAATTTTGTAAATAAATAGATTAAAAGGAAATTCTAATTTGTGATGGCGCCACGTAGGCGGTCCTAGGGTTTTTCTTTATATATATACATATGATTTTCTTAATAGTTTGTTGCCGATCTCTTACTAATTATTATGCATATATTCTTGAAGTTTTATTATTGATGTAATTGTAATTATAATTATAATTCACTTCAATCTGAATCAACCATGTTTTAATAATAGTAAGATTATCTTCAATTTTTTGATGTGTTTTATTAAACATTTCAAACTCAAACTAATTAGATATATCTGAAGTTATTTATGAGAAATGTTATATTCCAGATTGTATATAATTATAAAGTTAGTGTATATAAATTAAATTAATTTATAAAAATTTAAAATCAAAACCAAATCAAACCCAAGAAAGTGTTGGTTTATAAAATTTATATTGGGTAAAAGGAAATTATGTTTAAGTGGTACATAAAAAATATATTTAGAGGGTTAAAATAAAATAAGGTTGAGTTGAAGTATCCAAACAAAATTTAGAAAGGAGTTTAAAGGGGTTGTTTATGTGTTTGGCCTTTTTTCTTCTTCTTCTTACTTCGGTTAATTAATCATCTTCTCACAAAAATAATGTATTTATATTTACAACAACAACATATCCACTGAAATTCACAAGTCAAAAGTAGGAAAGGTGGAATGTACGTGAAGACCTCACCACTATCTTATGAGATAGAGAAGTATACCCAGTGAATTTCCACAAGGTTCGAAAAAGGTGGAATGTACGCACAAACCTTACCACCACCCAAGGAGGTAGAGAGGCTACTTCTGAAAGACTACGGTAGTACATCTAAAAGAACACAAACAACTCATTGCCTAAAATAAAACATCCCTTGTTGCACACAAGAACATCACCTAAACAATTAATGACTTGTAAAATACACAAAAACTGCAAAATTTGGATAATCAAAGACAAAAATTGGTTGGTTCTAAGGTCCAGATAAACCAGGACATACAACTTTTTAACTAAAGAATATACAAATTTAATGGCCCTTTCATAGAGGGTTAATAACTTTAATGATTTAGTATTCACTGACAAATAGATGGAACTCCCAAAAAATAAATGGAACAAATTGTATGCAAATATTATGAATATATGTCAGCTCTCTCTGTTTCATATCTACATTGATGACTCTCTTCACCTATACTCCCTACCTACCTACCTACCTTTTTATTCTACCAACAGCCTTCTATATAGTATTATCTCTTCCTGCAAAAACCCTCTCACAGTACTACACATCGATGACTCGTCCGCGAAAGGAAATCCCAACAATGTCTTGCTGGAAATATTCTTGATTCAATCAAGTCTTTGGAGTGTTTAGACTCAATCGTCACAATCCAATCCGCAGACTTCTAGGAGAGGACCATCTTTTGAGACAAACGGATTGACTCGTACCCACAATAATGTCAAGACTGAAGCAAGAAGAATAGACCATACGATGACTATGGTTGGGGTTCGTTCTTGCCTTCCCATCAATCCTTTTAGGAATGGGTAGAGATGAATAATAACCCACAAGGCAAAGAATAGCCTACCAAATAAGGGTCCCCAAGAGTCATAACCATTGTTTATTGCATCCGAGATACCAACCACAACTCCAACTATGTTCATTATTAGCAAAGTCGTTGGTGGGATCAATAATGATGTCCACTTGAACATATAGAGCTCCGAAAATTCTCCATCGTCACCTGCTTTGGTGGTGACAGTGAATCTTGTTTCCACACCAGCTAAAACCTTGAACAATCCTTGAAAGAGAGCAAAAAAGTGTGCAGAAGCACCTCCAATAACCCAAAACTGCTCATTTCTCCACCAATCATCTATAACAACACCACCCCACTGCATCTCAAGGATACCGGTGGCAGCAATAGAGATGAAGAGCGCGATGAATATAATGCTGGCATAATTACTGATCTGTAAATGTTTAAACATACACAATTAGAGGACAACCTCAATTAACTTTTAGAAAATTGGAAGTGAAGGATCAGACTAAATGGGAAAGAAGTAACAATTCTCAGTAGTTAGAAGTATCAATATTGGCAAGCTATTATATACATATTGTTAAGCTAATGAAAGTCATTAACTATGAGTCTCATGTTTCTTTCTTGCTGAGGATTTCAGAGAGGTTCTGGCATGATGTTTCTCAATATAGATCCAGTTATTCCGCTGGGACGGATATATAAATAGTTTAAGTTAAAGACCCAAGCTTATATGAAGACTGACATGACTCTAAGTAAACACTTCATCTGCTGAACACTTGAATGATATAAATTGTTGATTTTTTCACAACATTTTTTTTAGATATAACCAGGTCAATAGCGGAATCAGAAATTTACCTCAGGAACAATGAATTTTCCAGTGATAAGGCAGATAGCCGGCAAGGAACAGTAGACAATCAAGGGAATGGCCGTCAAAGGATACACAACAGAGTTTATGTAAGAGAGCCGCTCCAGCCACTTCAATCCACCACCATAGCCATACCAGATAGGGCAATGCTTGCTCAACAAAATTTCAACTGACCCCAGCGCCCATCTTAGAACCTGATGGAGACGGTCTGAAAGATTTATAGGGGCTGAACCCTTGAAAGCAGGCAGCTGAGGCATACAATACACGGACCTCCATCCATGGCAATGCATCTTGAATCCAGTCAAGATATCTTCTGTGACAGAGCCATAAATCCAGCCAACCTGGTTGAAGATTAAAAATTTCACGACTCAGCAAACCAAATTTACTACATTCTTCCATAACAAAAAGTAATCAATGGGTCTTACCTCCTTCCCCCATTCTGTTTTATCTTCGTAACCACAGCAAATAACATGAACGGCTTCCTGCAAAAGTGATGAGACACTGGCTTCCTTTGGAACACCACCATTTTCTAGAAGTGTTGAGGCAACAAAAACAGAAGACTGCCCAAATCTTTTCTCTAGTTTCACTTGGGAAGTCGAGCGTGAATCCACATTAGCTTCTGTAATGCAGCATAAGTTAGACTTTTCACCTCTATTGATCAAATTAGTAACTTCATTGTACATTTTCTGTAACAAACGACTAGAACAATTATTATTTAAAGCATAAAGATCTAACCTTCAACTCCTTCTTCAATGGTTTCAAGAGCATGTATTTGACTTGATGCCTCCCAGTGCTTTGGCTTCTTCCCTTTCTTTGTTTTCCCTTTCTTGTTTGTTTTCGATCTGAAACAGCAACAGCAAGAGCACAATTTTGGCAAGCAGTTGCAGGTCTTGCTAGGTCGCTTCCTCTTGGCAGGAGCATCATATCCATAAAGTGCATGCCTTCTGAAAACACACCCCGTACCAACATATATTGGTCCTTGTATACCATCCAAACCTTTCATGTTAATCTGGAAACAACCTCATGAATCAGTTTCTTCCCAGATGGATTATGGATTGAACTCAAGTTAATGAAATAAGGCTATACATACATCAAAGAACACAACATTTCTGTTTGAGTATCTGTCATGACGATCAATCCCATCAAACCTTTGTGGAAACTGCACATAGCAGATTTTCTTTCCTGAAATGGGGTCCATCAAGAAACACATGGCTTCCCTTAATGCCTTGCTATTGTTGATGTAGTGATCACAATCAACATTTAACAAGAAAGGAGCATTTGATATGACAGCTGAAACCCTCATCTGCATACAGAAAGAAAGACAACATTGACAAAATCAGAACTCCATGTTCATGCATAAGAATTTTCTTCTTGTTCCAATATTTTAACTAACATAAGGTCAGTCGAATTACCAAAGCATTCATGGCGCCTGCTTTTTTATGGTGATCAAACCCAGGCCTCTTTTCACGGGAAACATAAACCAAGCGAGGTAAATCATCTCCTTCAATATCGTGGACACCATCATGACCCATTAATACCTGTAGAAGAGTTAATCAGAAAAACTGAGGTATAAAAAGAGAGATAGCACCTAATACCTTTGACACTCATTTAAAGCATTCCACTGAATTTATGATGACCAGAAGTCAAAAGATTTATCTTTTTTTGTTTATGTTACACATTCTTATGAAGTTGAAAACAATGAAAGATCCAGATAGTTCTGTTGCGCAAGGTCCAAAAAGTAGTCCTGGATGAACTGGACAGTGCAGCTCAGAAGCTGTCTATGCCCCTGGGCTTCATCCAGAGTATCCTAGCTGACTAAAGAGTTTGACGGTCAATGGCCAAGACAGATAAATCTTCCAAAAGAACTTTTCAACACACTGAGAGCAGAAACCATGCTGTTGGTGGAGATTACGGGGAAAATAGAGAAGAGATGGTTAACAACTGGGGAAACCTGGAAAGAGAAGATATCCAGGATACGATTGGCAATCAAATTAGATGGGTAATGCATAACTTGCCAGCAGAATATATGAAGGACTATGATACAAATTTTGAAGGTAACAGAATCTCGTTTGAGGTGAATTCATCACAATAAATTGTTCTTACCTGGATCATACCAGGATGGTCTCGGACATTGTTCCCGGGCCATACTGTGCCATCCTGCATTGTCCAACCGTCCTCAGGAACCTTTTGAGCAGTTGCCACAAGACTATTTATACTGACTTTAAACTCTTCATATTCTCTCTGAGGCCATAAGCACAAGAAAATATTCAGATCAACAGCCCTAGAAGGTACAAATCTAAGTGCCCTGAAAGGTTCTGATGCATGTCAAAACAAAACAGAGAGATAAATCTATGCTACAAACCTTCATGGCACGCCGTTCCCTTACAAATGCAGGATGAACTTTATTTTTCAGATAGTCCATCTTTAGTGAAAAATACCATTCTGGAGCACGAGGTTCAATATTATACTTCTTGCAGAAAGGAACCCATTTTCTTGCAAAGTTAGATGTCTCAGAAAGGGCTTCAAAAGTAAGCATTGCTGCACCATCATCTGACACATAGCATGTAACTTTGTCCACTGGATAATCCACAGCAAGAATGGATAGAACAGTGTTTGCAGTGATTAATGGTGGCTCTTTCAAGGGATCGACTGTGCTGACAAAAATGTCAATAGGAGCTAACTCTGAAGGCTTTCCTTCTTTTTCATACCTGAAATGATAAAGCTTGTGAATACACGACAACAATTCTTTCTCTGAAACCAATGAACCCATTAAGGGTATCCAAAAGTCCAAGATAAATCAATCCAAAAATCTTCTCAATTTCAAGTCGACCACAAAACATTTTAACAGCAGAACCCTACCTGAGTGAAAGCCGATCAAGGTATGTTTCTCTAACTATAGGGCACCACTTTGGGAACTGATCAAGAATCCATGAAGCAGCAAACCATATCTCACAAACAACTGATGTCAACCACAGGCCAATTGCATCATTTACCGGATGAAGAATTCTATAATGGAAGAAGAGGCCAAGAATTGTGAGACGGAGTATGATTAGAATTCTGTACGGGTTAATCTTGCTTGAAGATATGGGCAACTTTCTTGATAGTGGCTGCCTTCCTTCATCCATCCTGAGAGTATGATCATTTATAAAGAAACTTGCTTAAAAAATTCACAAATACATTAGTGAATCAGAACCACAGAGAGCAAAAACAAGTCTTTTTTTCTCTCAGGTTATGCCTAAAGAATCTCTGTACAAGTACTTTCAAGTTTGTAGTAAGCTGAATAAGACTAGCGACAACCTCACACATAAGAAACCCCACAAAAACAACTTCATTAACAGAAACTGGGGAATGAAAGAGCTTAAATTCATGATTATGATATACAAATCTTAATTGTTGGCATCAAATAATTTTTTCATCAGCAATCATTAGCATTCAATCTTTGCCCAAAAAAAAACATTTAAGTTAATCCTTGAGTGCATCTAGTATGCCTTCCATTCAGAACTAGAGCTGTTGAAACAGTATTTATATTTCAAGAAGATTAATAGTACTTTTAACCAGCATATATTTTTAAAAATTTGCACAGGTTTAGCAATTGAGCCACTAACAAAATAGGACGCAAAAATATTTACATACATAGGCAAATAAGGATAATCCCCATGAAAGCTCCCACCACCATCTCCTTGATGCTTGACCACCGGGAGATTCTCATTCTGCTTTTTCTTCCAGTCTTCCATTCTGTCCTTCCAAGAAACACTTCCATAGCCATATAGCGCAATGTCTTTCTCTGGAACCATTGGCCTCGGAAGCACTACATCATCAAAAAAAAAGCATCGCATCACTCTCAGGTAATCAGATACAACAATCTAGAGAAAATACAATAAGAATGGGTTAATAACTTACAGGATACCGATGACTCAGTATGACGATTTAGATAAACCCCATTTCCAAAGCCATTCGATGGAGGCACTATGAGAGCATGCTGATTGGAAGAAATCTGAGAATCCTGGATTAGGAAGTTGCAAGCATTAGACTTGTACATCTTCCAGATTATGTGAATGATTGCTTTTCTTCTTTCGTTATTCAAATTAAAGGGCTTACAAGAATATTTACCTCTTCACCATAGGTCAAAAGAGGTATTTCCATACCATCAGTTGATGAACCTTGTCTCGAGGACGAGCCATTTTCATATGAACCAGCATGACCACTTCCGCCATAAACAAAGGAAACTGGACCAGAACCTTGGCGTAAAATCCCAACGCCATAATCAAACTCGTGCTCTATGTCATCAGTATCATCTTCTTCCTCATCACCCTCAACACGCGGACTACCTGAAATCAAAACCCATACATCAATGTCCATGATCAATGCACTTGAGGTTTCTAGTTTTGCACTGAGAGCAAGTTTCCATACCTTTAATCCGCTTGTATCTAGTTTTGCACTGAGGGCAAGCTTGGTTTCCTTCTCTTCTTTCATACTCATAGCAAAGTCTACAAACAGGGAAAGCACATTCATTGCAGGCAACAAACAGCTCTCCATCAGTAATCTCAAGTTCATCCCCACAAATCTGGCACATTCGTGCACTGAGCGCATGCACAGACTCTACCTGGACAACAGAAACGTCATCAAGAACAAAAGTTCCACTGCAGTCAGCATCAAATTACCAAAAACAAAGTATAATCCTCATAGATTATACAATACAATATATTCCAGAAGGAAAAATGTAAAACTTAGGTTGATTTTATTCACAAAAAAATTCAAGATCAATTGATACAGAAGTAAAATGGACAAAATCAAGGGCGGAGATTCCTCATCAAAAGTTAGAAAAGGCTCAACATTTTTGGGGCTGCATTCCAATTTATCCTCAAGTAAAAACAACAACAACAACAAGTGGGGTTTAGAGATGGTAGTGTGTATGCAGACCTTACCCCAACCTTGGGAGGTAGAGAGGTTTGTTTTCCGATAGACCCTCAGCTCACAAATTATCCTCAAGTAAAAAGTTAAAATCATAAGGACAAGAAATTTTAAGGTCAATTAGAAAAACAAAGAATGAACTATTGTGATTCCTCCATAATAATTTCATAGTTAAAGAGTATTTGCATACACCAAATTAGCCAACAAAAAGCTGACAAATTACAAGACGAAGTAGCTAAAACCCTACAATAATATATTAAAAGAGTCATTTTCAATAAATAGTCCAAAAAATACTCAGAACTTTTAAAAAGTCAAAAAATATCAAGGAAAATTAACAATCACAAAATACAGCTGAAACAAAACCTCCAATCACAGAAAGAAATGAAGAAAAAGGGGAAAAAAGAAAGTAGAAAGGCAAAATACATTCTCAGAAACAAATCTCCTGCAACTCAAAAAAAATGAACCAATAATCAAGATACAGAAACTAAGGAAAAAGCATAATTTTTTTTCTAGAAACCCCAATCAAATGGAGGATTTATCCATAAACCAAAACAAGCCACCACAAAGACCAAAATGGGTAATCTTCAGAACTCACAATATAATCAAAATGAAGGACTTTTATAGAGATTTACCCTTCCAAATTCATCAGCTTTGATAAGCACAAACTCATTTCTAATGTGAGAACCAGCAATAAGCCTTCCACTAGTGTCCATCGTCGCCATTTTCCACAATCACTCACAATCCAAATCCCAGATTAAAAAAAAAAAATCTTGAAATTCCTCAATAACCCCACTCAAAGACTCAACCTTTCAGTGCCCAAAATCAATAAAGGTGCCACCTTTATGCACTAAAAACCAAATCTTGGAAAACTATGTAACCCCCCATCAGAAAATACCCAAACCAAAAAACCCCAACATTGATAAACTCAACATTACATAAAAAAAAATTGGGAAGCCCCACAAGGATAAATACAATATTACAATATTGTTACACACAATAAAGTAGGAAACCCCAAAAAAAGATGATGCTGGCAATGCTTGTTGTATCAAAATTTCTTCTTTACAAGCTAAGTCTCGACTGTAATCTGGCTGAAAGTGGGAAAAGAAAGAAAAAAAGAGTGAAAACACTCTTATCACAATGACACAAGTTTAGAAAAAAATATTGAAATGTGTACACACAACAAAAACAAGAAAGAATCAAACCAAACCAAACCAAAACAAAACAGCCCAAGTGAGAGAATGTGAAGGTAGGCAATCTAGAAAGCCTTTTTCAACCCCCACACCCTGTTAATTTTGATCTAAGATTTGAGATAAAAAAAACACCAACTTTGATTGATGGGATGGATATCTATCTATCTATATATATTTGTGATTTTCTTCTTGTAAGCAAAATATATAAGCAATTACTCACTCTTTTGTAAAGAAAGAGTGAGATAGATGTGTAGGGCCCAAAGAGTTGGTAGTATATGGAGTAATTAAAGAAGGAAGAGAAATTGGGAGATTTTCAGAAAAGAAAAACAAATCAATAGTGATGATGTGTTTGACAAAACAAAAAGAAAAAACAGCTAAGAGAGAAAGAAAAAAAGTTTGGTAGTCTTTTTTTTCCTTTTATCTTCTTGCTCACTAAGGGGTCGTTTGGTAGAATGTATTAGGAAAAATAACGCATGCATTAGCACTGTGTATTACTAGTACCTTGTTTGGTACTCTTTTCCAACCTATGTATAACTAATGCTTGCATTAGTTATACACTCTATTGTGTATTAAAGTGTGTATTGCTAATACCATGAATTTCTAGGTATTAGCAATACAATGGTTTTAATGCATGCATTAGATTAACTAATGACAAAACTACCCTCTATTATTAATAATAATAATAATAATAATAATAATTATAATTATAATTAATTATTATAATAATTATTATATTATTATTATTATTATTATTATAATTATTATTATTATTATTATTATTATTTTTGTAAAAGAATGTGGGGGTATTTTTGTAAACAAATATTTTTTTAATAGTCTTTATACAAGGCTTGCTATTTCCAATACATCAAACCAAACAATGTATAAGAAATAATGCAAGCATAACTAATGCAAGCATTACTAATGCTTGCATTACTAATACATCATATTCAGCATTATTCTTATACACTCTACCAAACGACCCCTAAACACTTTGGAGTTCTATTGTGTGTCTGTATTATATATAATAACAACAATAATATCTACGTGGTGTAGTGAGTAAGTGAATAAAATTGTTCCTTCTTTAAGAAGTCTTAATTTTGAATATGATTTTTTTAAGTAAAGAGAATTTTCGCTCAAATAATAATATCACCAAACGACATGGTGCAGTGAGTGAATAAAATCAATCTTTCTTTAAGAAGTTTTAATTTTGAATATGAATTTTTTTAAGTAAGGAGAATTAGGCTCGAATAAATTTTATATGACCCGAATTTAATCCTTATTAGTCAGACTCCAATACAAATAAAAACTAGAAAACAATTAAGAAAGGACTAATCTATGTAGTTCAATTGGCTGTTCTTTTGGGAATTCTTTTAAAAGGGTGTCACAATTTTAATGTGTATTGTAGGAATATATGTTATACTTTTGTGTATATATTGTAATAACATTTGTGTTTGTACATTTGAGAAAATAAAAATATAATTGGTAATAAATTTAAAAAAAACGTGCAATTGGAGATCCTACTTACTAGGTTTAAGGATAAAAAGCTATTTTTTAAAAATTATTTATTCCATGTTTGTTATTTATATTAAGACTCTGAGTAACAAGAATTCAAGCTACATAAAGCTTTAAAAAATTGCTTATTGAAAAAGAAAAAAAAAAGCTTTTTTTTTAATTATTATTATTGTCTGAAGAGAGAGAGGTTATTTTACTATAATAATATGGAATGTTACAATGCAGTGAATGTATTTAATTTGCAATATAAGTATTATTTTTTTATACCATAGTACTTGTAACAGTGAATGTATGTAATAATATTATTATTTTTGTACTATAGTACTTGACTAGTACGAGTACAACGAGATATAAAAGCACAGTTCACTGGCTTTTTACTTGTTAATATTATATATTGTTAATATTATATATTGCTTTACGGAAAATCAGGTTGACTTGAATTGAAGTTTTATTTCAATATATATATTAAATTTTTAAGAAGTAAGTATGAAACTTATATGATTTTGTGAAAACTATGCAATTTTTCTAATTTTTATATAATTTTATCAAATAAGTAAATTATCATTCATAAATTGTAATCAATATAACATACTCCCTCCGTCCCATATTATATGGCACTTTTTGGATTTCGATATTCAAACAAGTCAATCTTTGACCATAAATTTTTCATAAATATTTTAAACATTTTGAATTATTATTTTTTGTGACTTATAGTACTTTTTACGTAGTTTATCAATATATAAATTTCATTTCAAAAAAATTGAAGATTTCATGTGCAAATTCTCGATCAAACTTAAATTGTTTGACTCTCGAAAACGAAAAGTGTCACATAAATTGAGACAAAGGGAGTAATATTTTAATCGTATTAATAAATTATATATCTTCATATTCTTTAATCATATAAATAAATATTTGTGATTATATATTATTAATAAATCAATACAAAGATTTATTGGTCTAACAATAACATTAATAAGCTATTCTTAAATATAATTCTTGCACATGATATGATCAATCAATTCAAGTAGAATATAGTTCTTTTTTCTTCTTCTTTTTTCCAAAAGCTAAAATAATGAATCGTTATTTACAAAAATATAACTCATATGTCAAGTTATACATCTAAAAAAACATGAAATTAAATATGTCACTGAGACCAAAAAAAACTTAAAATTAATTCTTTCATATATATAGCACCTATATCTTATTTTGCTAACTTTTCTTTCATTTGAGGTAATATTTTAAGTCCTCGTTATTCGATTATTGTCATAAAAAAAAGTCCAACGACCCGTGTTCACAGGTCCAATAGTCTTGTCTTGACAGGACAGGAAAAAATAAATAAAAACAAGTACATAAATTAAGATTTTTTAAATAAAATAAAGGGTAAAATAAAAAATACAAAAAAAGATAAAAATAAAAATATGAGAAGTGTATGGGTGAAATCGATGTTGTTCAGGTGGATTAATAATGCATTGACACGTAATCAAAACACTTCGGTTAAGAAGCATTGAACAATATTTCTAAAACTTGGCCGGTGAATGCAACACGGTTTAGTAATTTTTTTTGAGATAAGCACTACCAAGACGAATGGCATATTTGACCCATCTAGCTCTAGAGGCACACAAACAAACAATATAATTGTATAGTTCATGACCTAATGGAAGAGGTTGCCTTAGGCTCACAACTTAAAAACTCTTTGTTTTTCGGCTTTTTAGATATTTTGAGTACACTGAGATTTAATATAATATTGCTCAATCGCTCTACTATTTTTATATTTATTTATTTTTCTTTATAATAATTTATTTCATTATTATTTCATCATAAGATCAATCTAACTCACGAGCGTGTCTTTAAATCATAATAAAAATTCAAATATATCGTTTTACATGTATACAACTTGAATAAGGAAAATCAAAATAAAAGTTCTTAACATATCTAATGTTGAATTATTGTACATTAACAACAATTTTCCTTATTTCATTGCAAAGGTCAAGAGTATTCCATTTTACATGTTATGTACGACCAAAAAATTCCTCAATTTTCTATATATAAAAAATAATTATTTTATTGGTAAATTTTAAAATATGCATTGTTGTTGAGGAAAACGGACTTCAATTTACACAAAAGACACTTTCTTCCCACTACAACATTATTTATCCGTCAAAAATGTATTAATATTATAATATTCTTGTGTAATTATTAAAATATTCAAAAGAATTATCTTTCGAAATTTGAAGACTTATATATTGGAAAAGCGAAATAATTGTTACTTATTGAAGTATAGGGTAAATTCTGAAAGCAATAAGTGGATGAATCAGAAGATGACACGTGAAAAAGCGGCAGGTCAGATTTGAGTCAATGAATAATAACATTCTAGAGGTCACTAAAGAAAATCGCGTTGATTCGTAAGAAGTTTGTCACGGTCTATTAATGTTCAGTGTTTCAAACAAGAGCTCATTTAATTTCGTAGAAGCGATACCAGAATACAGATAAGATTAAAGTAATTTAAATATTCTACCGTTACGCAAAGACGATTAAATTGTCAACAATCATTATTCAATAGCGATAATTAGCAATTAATAGGTTTTTAATATGCTTTAAGGGAACATATTTTATGAATCTCGTCATTTGAAAAACAATTACAAATTTTATCTTATTTCACTATTGAATGACATCGATCTGAGTTTTAGTCTTACACTATTATTATGCGATAATTCTTTAGGCTGCTAAGCTCTCAAGTTGATAACACACAATTGTATACCTATATTTTGATTCATATTGCTTAATTATATTTTTTACTATTTATTTCTTACAAACTAGTTCATTACAATCTTGTCATCTGTCAAATATTCAACCACGCAATGAGGTGAGGCGTAAGCCTCGAGACGTGGGGCGTAAGGGATTATAGATCTTTAAAATTTTAATTTATAATATAATATAATAATATAATAATACAAAATTATAAAAATAAATCAATAGTTTGAAATAATTACAAATATGATTAAATAAACTAATAGAAAATAAAAGTTCTAACATAACTATACAAGTATAAATAATTTAATATCTTAACTTTCTAATAATAAATGAATCATTATTTCTCAAAAATATTTTTTATCATACTATACTATTTACCCCCTAAAAGAAAATAATCAATAACCCTACTAGTTACTAGTATTATAATAAAAACATCACCCCGTCACGAATAAAAATAAAATTACTTTCAAATAGCTAAATAAAATATAATAATTTTGAGACATATGACAGAATCATGAAGACCAATGATAAGTGAAAAAGTAAATTTTGTGATGTATTTTTAAAAGAAATGTTATATACTACTTTCACAGTGTTACCAAATAGGAAAGATGTGGTACCAAAGCTTGTTATGTGAGTTATTCTCAATCTTCTTATCTCTATAGATTAAAAATTATTAAGTATCATACAATTATTCAAGAATTATGAGGGTTGACAATGTTAACTAAAGATTCTAACACATAATTTGTA